GGGCTGGTGGTACAAGACCACAATGGCCTTCAAGCTGATCTGTGTGGTGGCTGTGCTAGCTTTGGTGACAAAAGGTAAGAATCCTTGCAGATAATAATTAATAACCTAAGCTGTTTCTTACAACCGTCTTCTGTTATGTTTGAAAGTGAATTCAGTTTCTGAATTATTTAGTAATTTTTTTCTCTAATGGTTGTTTTTTGAATGTAGGGTAGTTATATTTTATCTTTAATCTGCAACATCAGATAAAGCCTGCTATTCTGGAAGTTGCTTTCGAGAAAAAACTATATTTTTCCTCTGTAGAATATGTATATATATGTCTTTATAGCTTAATATTATTTAACTTTTTTGTGACACTTCGAATAGGTTTATATGCACCCAGAATATCTCTGCATTTCTCTGGCATTGTACCAATGACCAAGGAGGTTGTGTCTCTTTTTGCACATGAGTTTTAGAAGTGGGTCTACTAAAGAAGATGCAAAACATGCAGCCACAGCTTGGCTTTCAATTTGAAAAACATTTTAACAGGATGAAACTGTTAAAATATTTTGATATTTGCATATCTTCCACTAAGAAATTTATGCAATTTGGTGATCTGTGGTAAAGGGTCAAACACTGAAAATGGTTTGCTCATACTGCCTGTTAAAAGGCAATAGCAAATCACTTTGCATCTTCTTTGAAAATCTGCATTGCACTACGTTTGTCTATTTTAAGACAGACAAATCATATGACAATAATGGCCTTCGTGTTTTAATACATAAAATTTTTTATTTTTATTGTTTAAAGATAGAAATAAATATGAGTACTGGCACCTGGGACATGCAGAAACAATAAAGACATCTATATATTTCTGTGATCTTTTGTATGTAACATGATTCAGTAGTTCATTGAGGTCATTCTGGTTATTTCAACTAACATTTCTCTTCAATGGTAATAGTATTATTTATGCTGCTCCCTCATATGTTGTCTGTCAAAGCAACTTTGACTCAGACTAATTTAACTTGTCATCACCATAGTCAATACAAAAGTTAAACATGATTTCCTTTACTTTTTAATAGTTTAAAAACTGTATTTAAAATGTGTAACAGCTTTTAGAGTCCACAGCAACATTTTTGCCCTGAAGAAGCTTTTTATGCAATGAGAGGCAAAACTTCAGTTCTTCACATATTATATCTCATTTATTATTACTTTTTGTTTTGGTTGATTTATTGACATGATATTTTTATTAAACTGTTATATATAAAGGTGGTCTAAGATGCTAAGAACTGAATCAGACACTTTGAAAACGGATAACACCTACCATGCTAACAGCTAGCTAGCTGGAGTTAGACAACAACTAGCTGATTAACACAATTATTTTTTCATGTGACTAAATGAAATATAATTGCTGACTTCTTTTGGTATGGGGCAGTCAGCTATGGCTTCACAATGACAAAATATCAGTGACGGATAAAGTACTCTGAAACAGTACTTACTGTAAGTACAAGTACAAATAAAAAAACAAATTCAGTAAAAGTAAAAGTATCACACTGAAATTTGTACTTAAAGTACTTGCTTTTTAAAATACTTAAAGAAAAAGTGCTTTCTGAATTAAGTGCAATGTTTCACCACAATTATCAAATTTACCTACCATCAGAGGTGGAAAGAGTACTAAAAAACTGAAATTGAGTAAAAGTATCTTTACTTTGCCTAAATTCTACTCAGAGTAAAAGTAAAATTACCCATCTCAAAATTTACTCAAGTAAAAGTACAAAATTACTTCTTTAAAATGTAATTTGAGTAAAAGTTAATTAGTTACTTTGAGTTATTTAATGCAAAAAAGGATGAGTCATGAATCAAATTGAGCACAAGGTGTTTTAATCAATTTCAAGGCATATTTCAGTGGACATCCACACTTGCAAAAGATCAGCTGGGCTAAAGAACATACTTCCTCACAGCACAAGGACAGTCACAACCTGTACCATAAAGTGCAAACTATTTTCAATCCTACTGTCCAACAATAAAGAAAATTAAACTACATTTTAAGGTATTAAAAATGCACACAAAATTAATTGCCCAAAAGATACCAGAAATCAAACTAAAATGCAACAGGATCCAACTGTTATTAAATAAAATGCCACAGGATCCCACTGTTCACAATAAAACAAAATTCTCACAGGATCCAACAATTTAAAAGAAAGTGCTCACAGGATCTAACTTCAAAATACAGTGTCCACAAGAAACCACAAAACTGCCCCAAATCTACAACCGGTAAAGCTCTTGTTCAATTTCAGCAGTAGCTGATTTTCAAAGTTTTTTGCTGTAAGTCTTGCTGTCTTTGCTATGAAGAGCAACCCGGCTGAACTAAAAAGCCTGTCACAGGCAGCTGAGGCTGGAAGCCCTGTGTTGAGTTTCAGAAAGGAGTTCAACAGGTTAATGCTGAACCTGAAGTTCACAGAACACCAGAGAGAGATGGGGGAAGGAACCGGTTGAGTGTGAAGAGGAGGAACTTCAGGAACTTAAGGTCTATGATGAAACCATCATAACATTCTATTTCATTTATCGCCACATTAAGAAAACACCAATACCTGGAATGCTTGCATTCCCAACTCAGTCATTCTTTTGATACTCCGAACTAGCTAATTCTAAGCAACTGCTAACAAGCCAAGAGCTTGCTTATACATAAATAATAAATAAACAGTTTGGGATGTCGGAGACAAAAACACATGCGCTAACTTACCGCCATATGTTTTCGTAAATTGGATGTTGATGTTTTAAAAGCCGAAAGCTCAGTTTTGCTGGCCAGGCACATGTTACTGCATGTCACTGCGTTATCAAATAGTTCCCTTTTGTGCATTTGAACACAAATAATCCGTCCAGATATGGCCATGGGTTTTTCTGGCTTTCGTCTCCAGAATGTGTTTCCTCATGCATACTCTCTACATCGTGATTAGCAACTGCCATCTTCCAAAGCGCAGCACTGGATTATGAGACAATATAAAGGGTAATTGAAAGACAGGGTCGTGCATTAAGTTTCTGTTCTGTGACACAGGGGTTTAAATTTCCGGCCGCATTTAATTTTTTTACCAGTATTTATTTATTTATTTTTTTTCTCAGTAACGTGAGGAGGTTTTAAATGTAGGGAAGTAAAACTACTTAGGTTAAAATTTAGTCGAGTAAAAGTAAAATTACATATTTCAAAAACTACTCAGAAAATTACAAATTACTCATAAAAAGTACTTAATTACAGTAACGTGAGTAAATGTAATTCGTTACTTTCCACCCCTGCCTATTATATGTATATTTTCTTTAATAGATCAATAATGTTATTTTAATGTACAATGTTTCGGAAAATGCATGTTTTGTTTTTACCTTGTGTCAAAGTTCACACTTTGGATGTGTAATTATGGAATTTCGGGGATAATCTGCTAAGTAATCTATTAACTTCAAGAAAGACGACTGATTACATATCTTTTATTTGAAATGACTGTGCAGTTAAATCAAGCACCTAAAGAAATATAACAGTTCCTGTTATTTACGCTATGGTCAGGAAGAACAGTAGCTGATTGCTTTCCTGTGATTCAGCATGAAAGAGTAGAATATCAATTATATTTGGAATAAAAAAACATGATTTAAAACTCCCTACATATTTTAGAAATACTTAATTACAAAATTTCTTAATAATTTGCACGAATAGTTAAAAAAAATACAATGCAATGAATTGTTTACAACGATATCTAACTAAAAACTCAATTAATATTTTTTTAAGGCAGATATACTAAGCAAACAGAGAATCTGTTCATCTTCATTCAAACCTTTTATTTTTAGAACATTTTTAACAAGAATCTTACTAATTGGAATTCACTGGCAGGTGATTTTGCTTATTTGAATTCTTGCAAATTAACTAATCTATTCATTTCTTTTTCTGTTAAGAACATCTGACTTAAAACATAATCAAATATAAATATACGTCTGCTTAGTCTGACTGTTTTTGCTGTGTATAGTAATTAAAGAAGCTGAAGAGGGCTATTATCTAGCATCACATCATCAATTCTCTGTGCTAATTGGCAAATGGGAAACGTTTTTAGAAAATAGGGAGTTCAAAAAATTATCCTGTGTGGATTAAATGTACATTCAGGATTATATATGATATTTATGTCTTTTTATCCAATCCAGGGGACAACATGTGGGATTTATTTACAATGATGGAAACTGAAAGAGTTCCTTTCTCCATTTTTTCCCCTATGTTACTGGAGAAGCACCATACTATTTCCAGCGGCTGGAGCTGTGCAGAGAAATGCTAGATTTGTAGCATTTTGTTCACAGGCTGTTTAGAGAGAATGAAAAGGATCGTGGAGGTCCAAGGTTGACCCGGATGGACCATCATATAACATCTGCTGTAAAAGGACAAAATCTAACGAAACTTTTTTGCCAAGCACAGATAGGAACACAACTGAAAATAGGAAGCCTTATGCTTTTTCTTTTGTTAAACTGATTAATTATAAGTAAGAAAATATATTTTTGTATGTGTACTGCCCATTGTATCAACCCGTTTAAGATTGTACCCTTAAATCAGAAGTTATGTCAATTGTAATTTAAGAATAAATATATATTTTTTTTTTTCAGAGTGTGACTCGCAGCTCTCTGGTAAGTCACACTGTTTGCCATCAGAAAAATAAACCAGATTTTCTGTTATTACTGTTTTGTGGTATATAGAGCAATCCAGGACATTGTCCCTTTTATTTCTTTTGTTTCTTTTTTTGCCTTAGTGTGTGGTCGACCATCACTCAACACCAGGATTGTCGGAGGAGAGGCAGCCCCTCCAGGCAGCTGGCCCTGGCAGGTCAGTCTGCACATCTCTAAACATTTCTGTGGAGGATCTCTAATCAACGACCAGTGGGTTCTGACCGCTGCTCACTGTGTTGAAAGGTAAGAAACAAGACAACAGAAAACACTAAACCTCAGAGCCAAACACTAGGTCAGTATTAAAAACGCTGGTGTGGCAATGCATGCAATGGATATATATAAATATATATAACGTTCGACTTTAGATACCTGCATGTTAATTAGAGTAACTATCTAACGTTTTTTAAAGTTTTGTAGCTCCTGTTTATTAGAAAGGACTCCCTCCAGCAAAATTAGTCTGTTAGAAATACCCTTATGCAGACATCAATAATCTATTTCAAGGCACAGGTCTCTGTCATTTCCTGATATTTTAAACATGTTATCCTTATTTTTTTTTATTTTTCTACATTTCTAAAAGCTTCTGGAATTCACCAAATAACGTGTCAGCATATCTTGGTCGCCAGAGTCAGGAAGAATCTAACCCAAATGAAGTCAATCGGAGAGCATCAAATATCACTATTCACCCTGACTACAATTCTTCAACCGTAGACAATGACATTGCTCTTATAAGGCTTTCTGAACCAGTGAATTTCACCAGCTACATCTCACCAGTCTGTCTAGCTGCCTCAGACAGCACCTTCTACAGCGGGGTTGAGTCCTGGGTAACTGGCTGGGGAAACATTGGAACTTTTGGTAATTAAAACACAACTAACTTTATTCTAAGATCAAAGAATGCATCAACACAGTGCTGACATTAGTGTTCTTGATTTAAATCATCACAAAACTGCATAATCTCTTGTCATTTAAAAACTACAGAGGGTTCCATGATTTTGTCACACACTACTTTTGTTTTCTTAATTTCATCTAGAACCCCTTCCATCCCCTGGAAACCTTTTGGAAGTGGAGGCTCAGATTGTGGGAAATGGTCAATGCAGGTGTGACTATAGTGACCTGGGTTATATAAGTATTACAGACAACATGATATGTGCTGGGTTTCAAGAAGGAGGGAAGGGACCCTGTTTTGTAAGTCTTAACTATTTTCTATTATTTTTTATTTTCTGCTCTTATTCCTTCTTCTGACCTGCTGTAAACAATTTGTTTCTGCTCTTAAAGGGAGATTCTGGAGGTCCACTGGTTAGTAAGCAGGGTGATCGCTGGATTCAGGCTGGAGTTGTGAGTTTCGGTGTTGGTTGTGCCAAGCCATTTTTCCCAGCAGTCTATGCAAGAGTTTCCCAGTACAATGAGTGGATAAACAGCCACATCACCAGAAACCAGCCGGGCTTTATCACCTTTAAATCCAACGGGAGTGAAAGTGATTTCAATGTTTCCTGTACAAAACCAACCTTTGACCCAGTGATAGTAAACATATCTGAAGGTACGACAAAACACAATCTCATAAGCCCATTTTCCACTGGCTTCACTTGGCCTTAATCAACTCAACTACAGTAATTATTAACTGTTACTGTTGCTGCTTTTTCCATACCGCTGATGACTTTATTCAGCCCTGCTCATAACTGGATAAAAAAGCTAATTGATGGGTTTAACCAGGCCAAAAAGAGCCAGTAGAAAAGGGGCAATTGTAAACAACTTAATAGTTTCACACAAGAAGTTTTGCATTCATGATAATAAAGGATTCCAGTTTAGCATACTTGTCTTAGATCAGTATTACTGATTTAAAATCAGTTGTTTAATCAAATTTTTCTCAGTGTGTGGTCAACCATCACTCAACACCAGGATTGTTGGAGGACAGGCAGCTCCTCCAGGCAGCTGGCCTTGGCAGGTCAGTCTGCACATCTTAGACCACTTCTGTGGAGGATCTCTTGTTACTGACCAGTGGGTGCTGACTGCTGCTCATTGTGTCGAAGGGTAAGCAAAAGAGATTCAGATTTCATAGCTGGTTTGAAAAGTAGAGGGCTTTATCTTACCCTGTGAAAAAGATCACCATTTCACATGCATTTTTAAATTTTGAAAACACAATGAGAAAAAGCAAAGAGAGCTTAACAATGGAGATTAAACTGATGCGTACTGCAGAATGGGAGAACATAGATAGAATGAAGCAGACTGATGAAAAGGTGTCCCTATGTCATCCAGCAGTCTAAGCCTATAGCAGCACACATACAGAGAATGTCTCAGGATGACTTAAATATTTTTGATGAGATATAAGAAAGATAGATCAACAGTGGGGACAATAAAGAGCCAAAGAAAAACGTTTTTCTGGACTGAAATTCTCCCCTGTCAGACAGGGTTAATATCGTTGTACCTCGACCTACTGTCAGGTTTTTAGTAAAGGGCCAGAACCCAACACAAAACCAAAACAAAGATTGAGTAAAATTATTTTAAAAACAACAAAGATTAGTTGTAGAAATGATCTAGTTTGGTTTGGGTGACTCTGGTGGTCCTGGAATAAAAAGACAGACTAAGAATCAAGAAACAATAAAGACAAACTGAAATTACCAGGGATCCAATAGTTTGAGGTCCATTTCCAGTCTAGAGTCATGCATGGAAGATCACTCAAGCAATACAATTTCCTAAATCCAGTGGCCTTAATCAGGGTCACAGTTGGGCAACATTCAGAAAAACTCAACTCACTGAAGGGTAAGGTCTGGGCAAGCCTTGTAAGCTCTGAAAAAGCAGACAATCCTGCACAGAAGTGAAGAGCAGGAGTTTATATAGGGAGCAGCCCAGGTGGAAATAATCAGTGATCAACATGAGGGAGAGTGAGCACAAACAAGGCAGGACTAAAACTGTGACACCTACCTCTCTACTTATCCAGCGACCAGGACACAACACTATGTTTGGACTATAAACTTTATCAAAAAGGAAAGGTCTTGCCTTAAAAGTAGACCAGGTGTCTGCCTCATGGGCTAAAACTGGTAGCTGGTTCCACAGGAGAAGATCCTGATAACTAAAAGATCTGCCACGCATTCTAATTTTATATATTCTAGGAACCACTAGTAAAACCTGCAGATTGAGAGTGAATTTCCCTATCATACCCTTTTCCCACTGACCAAAAACCATTTAAAGCTCGGAAGAAATGACTTTTAGTGGCAGTGGGATCGGCATGCTGTTGAACTGCTCATTTCTGTGATACCATTAAGTGCAATGTACGAACTATATATACGACTATAAAGTGGACTTTATAGCGTACTCTGTTCAACTGACCGTTTGGACAGATAATCACTCTTTTTGCTTCCCGTTGGTCACGGTTATTAGATACCTCTGTCGGGTAGCGATAGTGAGGTGCTGTGACAGCAAATCCCATAATGCATTGTGAGGAGAGCTCTCCACACAAAGCATTCCAAGATATAACTGCCTCTCCTGAGGCCTTTCTTTCCTTCTCATACACTTCGTTGACACTTTTTCTCTTATGACCCTCGGCCGTGGTGAAAAGGGTGAGCTTAATGACTGGCTGAAACTGTAGCTTACCACACATGAAAGTGCGCATGCGACATTCTAATTTTGCAATATTCTAAAGATGAAAGAAGGACATTCTAGACACCTCTTTCATATGGGATTTAAATGACTGGTCCTGATCAAAAATAGCACTAAGATTTTTTTTATTTTATTATGTGAGATCAATTAAATCCTATCCAAATAAAGTGACGACCAATCAACTTCTTTGTCAAAGACTCTGGTCCAAAGACTATAACTTTTTTATTGTCTTTATTCAGGAGCAGAAAGTTAAGAGTCATCCAGGTGTCTTCAAGACATGCCTGTAATCTGTGCAACAGGTTAGCTTAATCTGGATTCATACACAGATATAGCTTTGTATCATTAGCATAACAGTGGAAATTAATCCCATGCTGTTTAATAATTCTACCAATTAGGAGCATATATATTGTAAAGAGAATTGGGCCTAGTTCTGATCCCTCTTGTACTCCAAAGATAACACTGGAGCATTAGGAAGATTTATCATTCACGTGAAAAAACTGAAATCTGTAAGATAACTAAGATTCAAACCAGCCTAAAGCTGTCCCTTTAATCTATACAAAATATCTAAGTCTTTCTAAAAGAATATTATGATCAACTGTGTAAAATACAGCTACATAGATTGATAGACAGACAGACAGACAGACAGACAGACAGACAGACAGACAGACAGATAGATAGATAGATAAATAGATAGATAGAGAAATGCAAAAGTAACGCAATGCTGACTTTTACTAATAATTAGTTACTTTTATTGTGGAGTAACTCAGTTAGTAACTCAGTTACTTTTTGGGAGTAGTAACTAGCTACTATAACTAATTACTTTTTCAAAGTAACGTGCCCAATTTGTAGTTACCGATCTGTTGTTACTATATCTTAATTTGACAAACCGGATCTTCCCGCCGTTCCTTTTCCTGTTTGGTGCGATTGCAATAGCGAAACTTGACCTGGCCGGAGTGGAGCCTGAACATTTAGAGTATGTTTGGCTCAACCTGCTGCTGTGAAGCAGGATTCTC